GGAGTGCAATGGCACGATCTCGGCTCACCGCAACCTCCGCCTCCTGGGTTCAGGCAATTCTCCTGCCTCAGCCTCCTGAGTAGCTGGGATTACAGGCACGCACCACCATGCCCAGCTAATTTTTTTGTATTTTTAGTAGAGACGGGGTTTCACCATGTTGACCAGGATGGTCTCGATCTCTTGACCTCGTGATCCACCCGCCTCGGCCTCCCAAAGTGCTGGGATTACAGGCTTGAGCCACCGCGCCCGGCCAATTTTTGTATTTTTAATAAAGACAGGATTTCGTTATGTAGGCCAGGATGGTCTCCAACTCCTGGGCTCAAGTGATCTGCTCACTTTGGACTCCCAGAGTGTTGGGATTACAGGCGTGAGGAACTGTGCCCAGCCTATTTAATTAATAAATTTGTTCTGATTTCATATTCTGATTTCAAATTTCATATTTACTTATATGCATAAATTATTTATAAGCTCCTTATGCTTATTGAGAAAGGGGTTTTCTTTAGAACAGGAAGACGAAATTAAAAGGTGGAGTGAACATTTCTCAATTTTAAGAAACACTGTTCTACTAAGTTTTCCTTCTTCCTTAGGTTAGATTAAATTGGATTTGTTACCTGAAGCCAATAAAATTATAATTAATACACTATCTCTAGAGTTGTGAGAAATAGATGCAAACCATAAAGTACAATGGATTGAGATATTTACTACACAGAGGGGTGTGTGTGTGTGTGTGTGTGTGTGTGTGTGTGTGTGTGTGTGTTGTGAGATAAGGTCTCCTCTGTCACGCAGGCTGGAGTGCAGTGAGACCATCACAGCTCACTGCAACCTCGAACTCTGGACTCAAAGGATCCTCCTGCTTCCGTTTCCTAAGTACAAGTACCTGGCTAATTTTTTACTTTCTTGTAGAGATGGGGCAGTGTTGGTGAATGAGAGGGTGGTACTACCTTGTTGCTCCAGCTGGTCTAGAACTCCTGGCCTCAAGCCATCCTCCTGCCTTGGCCTTCTCAAGCACTGGGTTACATGCCCAGCCAAAGTAGATTCCTAAGCAATGCTTTTTAATTAATCAACTGGGAGAAATGAAATAAGACAATGACATATAACATTTTCATAGTCCCAAGATTTGGCTCAATAGCTATATGGGTAACTGCTATGATTCGAATGTGTCCCACAGTTCATGTGTTGTAAACTTAATCCCCAATCTGTAAAAGCATAAAATGGACTAAGACAGTAACTCTGTCTCAAAAAAAAAGAAAGAAAGAAAAAGAAACACAGTGGAACTCTGTCTGTACAAAAAATAAGCAAAATTAGTTGAGTGTGGTGATGCAGGCCCATGACCAGCTATCGGGAGGATGGCTTGAGCCCAGGAGGTCAAGGCTGCAGTGAGCCAAGATTGCACCACTGCACTCCAGCCTGGATGACAGATGAGACCCTGTCTCAAAAAACAAACAAAAACTGTAGGGGGGAAAACCCCATCAGTGCCGAGGCAGGAGTCAGAAGCTTCAGCCTATTCCCTTATAAATAATGAAGAAGAAAATAACTAGAAATATAACCATAGCAGTTATTCATAGGTGATCTTAGTTATTCATATGTGATCTTAGTTATTAATAGGTGATCTTAGTTCTTTTATTAATGCCTTTCGGGTCGTGAAGTGTGAACGTGGGGTGACATTGTGAAAGGACCCTAAGGCAACACACTTTAAGCCCTCTGTCACCCCTGTGTAAGGGCTGCTGGGGGGGCACCTTGGCTGAGCAGCAGCACCAGCTCTGGGGAAGCGCCTGCTGTTTAGCCAGCTAGGGAAGAAGTCCAAGACGGCGGAGACATCTCCCTCCCTGGAGAAGTTAAGAGAAAACTCTGCAGGCCGGGCGTGGTGGCTCACGCCTGTAATCCAAGCACTTTGGAGGCCAAGGTGGGTAGATCACCTGAGGTTGGGAGTTCAAGACCAGCCTGACCAACATGGTAAAACCCCGTCTTTAAAAACAAAACAAAAAAAAAAAAAGAAAAAGAGAACTCCACTCCTCCAAGCTCTTGCAGTGGACCTGATGCTGTCAGGTAGGCCCGCAGACATCCTGGGGCTTAATTGTCTCTATGTGACGCTGTGCTTCAGTGGTCCCATTCCATGTCCACTCTCATGTTCCGCTTCTCACCTCGTTCCCTTTTTCTTAGAAGAAATAATCAGTGAAAGTAATATAAATCTTAATGTCTTTGTTCTTTCTTGACAAGTATGGAAAAGTGCAGATGCATTATGCTCCTTACCTCATCTCGGCTACCTGAAATTCTTGAGCCCTGCCTATATGACATATGATGGACTTCACCCTATCACTGACCACCAATGCCACGCCCTACCTACCCTGCCCTCAGCTTTGTACTCAATAAAAGTCAGAGCATCCAGGCACTTGGGGCCACTGCCAGACTCTGTGCTTTGGTTGGCAGTAGACCCCCGGGCCCAAACTCTCTTTTCTCTATCTCTGTGTCCTGTGTCTTTTATTTCTACAGTTTCCTGTCTCCACACCAGCAGAAAGAGGCTCACAGGACCCTGTAGTGCTGGACCTTACAAAACAAAACAAAACAAAACCCTCAAAAAACAATGTTTAGAGCTAAGACATACTGTATTAAACAACAGAAAACTATCTGCTGAATACATATTGTATAAAAGAACAGAAAACTATCTGCTGATTGAGTACAATCCCTGTTAAAATGTACGCTTTGAAGAGACCCCTAAACCGGCTTTGTGTGAGCAACATGGCTGTTTATTCACCTGGGTGCAGATGGGCTGAGGCCAAAAAGGGCTTAAGCAAAGGGCATGGGATAGGAGTTGGTTTTATAGGTTGGGGCAAAGTTTTTTGGGGGGGGAACAGGGGTGTTACGGAGTAAGATCAGTTACAGTGGTGGGGGTAGGGGCAAGGAATATGCATTACCATAAATTCAGTTACAATGGCGGGTGGGGTAAAGAGTAAGAGTAGTTAAAGATGGCAGGGTGGGGCAGAGGGATATTCACGGAGCAAGAACAGTTAAGATGGCAGGGTGGGGTGAGCCATCTTAAGGAGGGCGGGAAGCTCCGCTGGGTTATCAGGGATAATGGCGAACACAGGCCAGGGGTGGGGGGTGATCAGCCGAGGTAGACAGGACTTCAGACTTTCTGGGTCCAGACTTGCACGTGGAGGCCTAACAATCCCGAATCACATTTATGTAATAAGCAAAAACAGAGTACCTGCATAGGTCTACAAATGTGTGAGTGTATACACAGAAAGAGAACTAAAACTATATCAAACTCTGTGTGTGTGTGTGTGTGCACGCGCGCACGCATGCATGTGCCTGTGTGTGTGCGTGTGTGTTTGAGTTGGAATTTCACTCTTGTTGCCCAGGCTGGAGTACAATGGTGCCTTCTTGGCCCACTGCAACCTCTACCTCCTGGGTTCAAGCGATTCTTCTGCCTCAGCTTCTCAAGTAGCTAGGATTACAGGCACCTGCCACCATGCCAAGCTAATTTTTCTATTTTTAGTAGAGACAGGTTTTCATCATGTTGTCCAAGCTGGTCTCAAACTCCTGACCTCAGGTGATCCACCCACTTTGGCCTCCTAAAGTGCTGGAATTACAGGCATGAGCCACTGCACCTGGCTGTACCCATTATTTTTAAGATTAGAATTGAATTTAAAGACAGTAGAGTTACTGCCTTAGTCCATTTTATGCTTCTGTAAGAGAATACCACAGACTGGATAATTTATAATGAACAGAAATTTATTAGATTCATGGTTCTGGAGGCTCAGAACCTTGTCAGCCCTTTCTGCTGGTGTAGAGACAAGAAACTGTAGAAATAAGACACAAGACACAGAAATAAAGAGAGTTTGGGCCCAGGGGCTCTACTGCCAACCAAAGCATGGAGTCTGAGAGTGGCCCTGAGTGCCTGGACGCTTTGACTTTTATTGAGTTCAAAGCTGGGGGCAGGTTAGGTAGGGCAGGGTAGGTGGGGCAGGGTAGGTAGGGCATGGTAGCTGTCAGCCACCATGCCCAGCCTATATCAAGCTGTTAATAGTCTTTTTTTTTTTTTGAGACGGGGTCTTATTTTGACACCCAGGCTGGAGTGCAGTGGTGTGATCTTGGCTCACTGCAGCCTAGACTTCCTGGACTCAAGCAATCCTCCTACCTCTGCCTCCTGAGTAGCTGGGACCATAGGCATGTGCCACCACGCCTGGCTAATTTGTGTGTGTGTGTGATGGAGTTTCGCTCTTGTTGCCCAGACTGGAGTGCAATGGCTCCATCTCCACTCGCCACAACCTCCGCCTCCTGGGTTCAAGTGATTCTCCTGCCTCAGCCTTCCAAGTAGCTGGGATTATAGTCACTTGCCACCACGCCCTGCTAATTTTGCATTTTTAGTAGAGACAGGGTTTCTCCATTTTGGTCAGGCTAGTCTAGAACTCCTGACCTCAGGTGATCCACCCACCTCAGCCTCCCAAAGTGCCGGGATTATAGGCATGAGCCACAGCGCCCAGCCATTTTTG